CAGCAGTGCTAGTTAGGGAGACAGGGGAGAGGTCATAGCTTGAATAGTATTTCTCAAAGTGGGAGGATATTAATTGATCAAAAAGGAAAGTGAAATTGGAAAACACTGCGTTAAAAGCATTAAACCAGTTCTTCAAAGCAGAACTCCATGGAGGCTTTAATATGGTACTGCACATTTTAAGTCTCCAGGAGGGAGATAACAAACCTGCCACTGAGCTCTTGTGACCACAGCATCCTTATAGTGGTTGGAGTTTGGAGGACAAAGTTTGAGAAACATGGAAACCAGTTTTCTGAAGGTACCAACATTCCTCAAGAGGAGTCCTGGTAGGTGTTGGGTGGTCAGAAGAGTAGATGCTGGAATAAATTATAGGGGTTGGGTGAGACCTGCAAGCTGGAGAGTAAGCTTTACCACTCTATTTCTGAGGATCTCCCCCACTCCCAAAACGAAGGATAAGGATAATGATGGGATCAAGAAAGTATGGAAAAGGAAGCAATCTTAGCAATTATTTTTCTGTTAATGTGGTTGCACAAAGTGCAAGATCCTTTCCCCAAAATCTACATTTGTCTGAAGCTTCCATTCAGAGTTGGTTAGGTCTGAATAAAGAGGAGTCATGGCTTGCCCTGACAGATTCTTTGAGGAATGAGCAGAGTAGAACTAAAATAAAGTGTGTTGAGGTTCAAGAAGTCTCATGAGATGTAGTTTCCAGAGGTCCTGGGTGATCCACAGAGAATGAAAGAAACTTGTGTAGAAAGTTGACTCTATCCAATTTGGGAGCACAGTTTGACTTCAGAATTACATCACTGGCTCTAGAACAGGGGCTGCTTGTGAAAAATGCTGTTATGTTGTAAATGGCTTGTCTTCCTGAAAGCTGATGGGTGGCAGATTTGAAAATATCTAGAAAGGAATTAAAAATACATTCCCTACTCTCCTGAAGCAACCAGTGTTAAACCTTCCCACATGCTTACGCACCCATTCGCTTCATGCTCTAGTGCATTTTTCACTTAATGTTTTTTTTTTAATTTTTTAAAAGATTTTGTTTATCCTTGAGGCACAGACACAGGCAGAGGAAGAAGCAGGTTCCATGCAGGGAGCCCAATGAGGGACTCGATCTCAGGTCTCCAGGATCACACCCTGGGCGGAAGGCAGGTGCTAAACCGCTGAGCCACCCAGGGATCCCCTCACTTAATGTTATTTCATGTCAGTTTCTACCTCCCATATTCTTTATTGTATTATAATGCGACAACTCTCCTTTCATGGGCAATTATAGGTCATTTCCAATTTTGCTATTGCAATAGCAGTATAAGCAACAAGCAAGTTTTTGCATTGTTTTAAGCACTTTAACATATAATCCTCCTATTCGGAGATAGGTGTAATTAACACTATTTTTAGATGAGGAATCTGATGTACTGACAGGATAAATTAGTTGCCCAAGGTTACAAGCCAGCAGGTGGTGTAGTGATTTGAACTCAAGTAGTCTTTTCTTCAGGGCCGCACGCAACATTTTTACAGAAGGCATAAATTATGTAAAATTAACTGTGCTGTTGTCCTTTTTCATTTCACCGAGAACTGGCAAAAACTATCTTGGAGTGGCATCAGGACACAGACTAGCACCTGGACCCTACTGCCTTCAGTGTATCAAGCAAGTTTTCAGCACTTTTGTTGTTTTTAAAGATTTAGGTAATCTCTACACCCAACAGGAGGCTCAAACTCACAACTCTGAGTCACACATTCAACTAAACCACCCAGGGGGCCCCTCTTTTAGTACATCTTTGCACACAGGTATGATGAACACTCTTTCAGTGAAGATCACAAGAAATAGAAGGTTATTAACAGAAACTCTTCTTTTATTGGGAAACATTTCCTTAAAGGGCAGGATTGTGTGTGTGTGTGTGTGCGGGGGGTTCTTGCACCACAGGCTGTAGCAGCATATATGTCTCTTCCTTCCCATGGGCTCTTTGGCATCTGGACTAACACTGCAATTGAGAGTTAGACAGGAACTAACTCTAAGTGAACGAAGAACATTAAGTTGAATAAGGGATAAAAATGAGTGATTGTGGATTCAGATACATAAACAAATCTTTATCACCATCCCTTTCTGGGACATCCCAAGAGCAAAACTCCACTCTCAGTCACATTTCCCCACGGTACTGCTGATACTTTACCAATAACCAAGAGAAGTAAACACGAACCACAAATTACAACTGGCCTCAGTTTCATTCAGTGTAGTGCAAGGTTTGAGGCCACGAATGATAAACCCATTTCCCAAACTCAACTGGTAGCACAGGTCGTGAAGACCCAACACATTTAGAAAGCATTTCCCTTGGTCAATTTTCAAGTTCTGTGCAGAGAATTTGCTAAAACCCATGAATATGTAGGGAACTCCACAGAAGAGATTGAACCGGTATAAACTGAAATCTTTCTTTTTTAAATTTTTTTTAATTTTTTTTTAATTTTTTTAAAATTTTTATTTATTTATGATAGTGAGAGTGAGAGAGAGAGAGAGAGAGAGGCGTAGAGACACAGGCAGAGGGAGAAGCAGGCTCCATGCACCGGGAGCCCGATGTGGGATTTGATCCCGGGTCTCCAGGATCGCGCCCTGGGCCAAAGGCAGGCGCCAAACCGCTGTGCCACCCAGGGATCCCATAAACTGAAATCTTTTGAGTTTCAGACTACATAGAGCTGTAAGTCTGCCAAGATAGTAAAGATTTGGGAAAAATAGTACAACTGTTCAAGTCCTATTGCCCAAACCACCGCTTGGTTTTTATTCAGTGAAATACTTTTATTCTCAAGGTTTTCAAAGCTTTAAATGTAAAGCAAAGCATGGGAAAGAACAAGACAAATTTTTCTTTGAAACCCAGTTTCCCTACAGGTAAAAGGCCTGTTCCTACTCTGCTGAAAATTCAGTAAAAAGCCTGCTTAAAAGCACTAGCTTGGGATCCCTGGGTGGCGCAGTGGTTTGGCACCTGCCTTTGGCCCAGGGCGTGATCCTGGAGACCCGGGATCGAGTCCCACGTCGGGCTCCCTGCATGGAGCCTGCTTCTCCCTCTGCCTATGTCTCTGCCTCTCTGTGTAGCTATCATAAATAAATAAAAAATAAATGTTCCTGTTCTAAAAAATTTATAAAAAAAAAAAAAGCCCTAGCTTGAGAACATGCCAAAAAGGAAAATACCTAATAAAACATCATGAATTTCATGAGGTATCTGTCATACTTGGCAGGGCACTTGGATTTGAGTCCCTAGCTTGCCCTGAACTAGAAATAGCCTTAAGCAAGTCAACTGTAAAACGTTGGGACCGGAAAGAATGTCACTTCCAATGGTGAAATCCTTCCCACCGAATAGGGTACGGTGTTCCCCTAAACCTTATGATTTTCACTACCACCTCTAAATGTTTAATAGCTGTTTTTGTCCTTTCTGGCGCAAGCATTCTAATTTGCACTCAAAGCTCAAGTATTAATTCACTGAAAATAGCCATGGTAAAAAGTGGTAAAAAGAAACTGACTTTAGTACTCCCAATTTAGTATTTTATATTCAAATTTAAGTAGATTTCTAGGGCAGAAACAATACTGAGGCACAGTTCCCAAAATTATGCAAGCCACTGCCAGCTTTATCTAAACTATTAGACTCATTTCTAGGCAATGCTCAGCTCCTTAAGACACACTTCTGATTTAAGACTTAAAATTTTTAAGATTTATTCATGAGACCGAGACACAGGCAGAGGGAGAAGCAGGCTCCATGCAAGAAGCACAATGCGGGACTCGATCTCGGGACCCCAGGATCATGCTCCGTGCCACCCAGGTGTCCCTGATTTAAGATCTTAATCTAACAGCAACACTCAAGATTTCTAGTTTTTGGGTCAGAAATTATTTTCCTATACAGAGTAAACCTGGGAAGACCAAAAGGCTTTCAACTTCTCTTACATTGTACTCTCTGCAACTCTCAATTATGTCCCAAGTTGAAAACCACATTTGCTATTTATACTGGTTACACTACAAGCAAAGGGAAAAAGCTGTAGAGCACTTCAGGCATTGTTAAGGAGACCCAAATAGGTTCTTCTTTAAATTTTTTCTACTGGAAACCACACCTTTATTGGTTTAGGGTTTATTGGTAGACATGTTCAAATTGCTTTCATCTAGCTCAAAGTTTATCAAGCCTCAAAGTAGAGAATCTCATTTGTTGCAATTTTATCATTCTCCTTAGTTGGTAGATCTCAAGAACCTTGAGTTCAAGCCCCACACTGGGCAGACATTACTTTAAAAATTGTTAGAGGGATCCCTGGGTGGCGCAGTGGTTTGGCGCCTGCCTTTGGCCCAGGGCGCCATCCTGGAGACCCAGGATCAAATCCCACGTCGGGCTCCCGGTGCATGGAGCCTGCTTCTCCCTCTGCCTGTGTCTCTGCCTCTATCTGTGACTATCATAAACAAATAAAAACTAAAAAAATAAAATAAAATTGTTAGAAACCATCTTCATTTGCTGCCTAACACCAAAGTTATCAAGTTGCCTTGGATCAGGATACTTTTAAAACTTTGAGTTCTTTCAAACCTGTTGACTAGGATTCCATTGGATTCTTGGTTATTAGCTCATGTACTCAAGACAAGATTATGGTTTCACAACTAATGGTTAAAACGAGTGTAATGCACTACTTATCAAATAAATCAGTTAATCACAACCCAGCAGCCCCAACCAAAATTTCAGTTCTTTCTACTTGATTAGCTTAGTTTACACCCATTGGGCAGAGAAAGTAGGCATGTTGGCTTTCCCTAAGCGTTCATATTCAATTTTTAATTGGGTAATACCTCAGAAATGGTTTCCCATTACACCAGAACCATTAACTTGTAAATGACCTTGACCGGATAAATCTCCCACAACTCAACACACGTTTTTCTTAAACAAAATGGCTTACTGTTGATGAAATGGATATTCTGAATGCTAAGTCCCTTCCTTGAACAGTTTTAATCAGCTAGGAGTCCCCACACCATTACATAATTTCACGACAGACCACAATTATGCTACCATGCAACAAAACTTTTATTAACATTTTGAACAGCTATTGAGAAAACCAGTGATTCAGCTCTTACTGAAACTGGTAATTTCTAAACTTAAATTGGGGCAAATGGCTAGAGTGCAGAGCAATGCCATCACTGGGCACTAAGAATTCAAGATTGAAGAATTAACAGCCACCCCTCAGACGGAGAACCAGGTGGAGAGTTGACTCTTTCTGGATGTTGTAATCAGAAAGAGTGCGGCCATCTTCCAGCTGCTTGCCTGCAAAGATGAGCCTCTGCTGGTCAGGGGGGATGCCCTCTTTATCCTGGATCTTGGCCTTCACGTTTTCGATGGTGTCACTGGGCTCCACCTCCAGGGTGATGGTCTTGCCGGTCAGGGTCTTCACGAAGATCTGCATACCACCCCTCAGGCGCAGGACCAGGTGCAGGGTTGACTCCTTCTGGATGTTGTAATCAGAAAGAGTGCGGCCATCTTCCAGCTGCTTGCCTGCAAAGATGAGCCTCTGCTGGTCAGGGGGGATGCCCTCTTTATCCTGGATCTTGGCCTTCACGTTTTCGATGGTGTCACTGGGCTCCACCTCCAGGGTGATGGTCTTGCCGGTCAGGGTCTTCACGAAGATCTGCATACCACCCCTCAGGCGCAGGACCAGATGCAGGGTTGACTCTTTCTGGATGTTGTAATCAGAAAGAGTGCGGCCATCTTCCAGCTGCTTGCCTGCAAAGATGAGCCTCTGCTGGTCAGGGGGGATGCCCTCTTTATCCTGGATCTTGGCCTTCACGTTTTCGATGGTGTCACTGGGCTCCACCTCCAGGGTGATGGTCTTGCCGGTCAGGGTCTTCACGAAGATCTGCATACCACCCCTCAGGCGCAGGACCAGATGCAGGGTTGACTCTTTCTGGATGTTGTAATCAGAAAGAGTGCGGCCATCTTCCAGCTGCTTGCCTGCAAAGATGAGCCTCTGCTGGTCAGGGGGGATGCCCTCTTTATCCTGGATCTTGGCCTTCACGTTTTCGATGGTATCACTGGGCTCCACCTCCAGGGTGATGGTCTTGCCGGTCAGGGTCTTCACGAAGATCTGCATACCACCTCTCAGGCGCAGGACCAGGTGCAGGGTTGACTCTTTCTGGATGTTGTAATCAGAAAGAGTGCGGCCATCTTCCAGCTGCTTGCCTGCAAAGATGAGCCTCTGCTGGTCAGGGGGGATGCCCTCTTTATCCTGGATCTTGGCCTTCACGTTTTCGATGGTATCACTGGGCTCCACCTCCAGGGTGATGGTCTTGCCGGTCAGGGTTTTCACGAAGATCTGCATTTTGACCTACAGTTTAAAAGGAAATTGTTAGTATACCAATTCAGGATCTTGGTGACCTTCACATACATTCAATTCTTCAAAATGAACAATTAACTTCATCAACATCTCTCACAGCCCCCCCCCCTTTAGTGATCGTAAGTTAACCACTAAATATAAAAATTTAGTCACGGCTTCAATTTACCAAAGATGGAAGACTAAAAAAAAAAAAACTTTCAAAGGTTAGTATCGAGAGCCTTAACTATTCTAGACTCTTCTCTAAATCGTCTTCCACCCCACCCCCACCACCCCCTCCCGCCATCCCGGAATGTTCCCAAAACCTAAGCAGAACACGTCAGATTAAAAAAAAAAAAAACACGAAACTCGACAAATAAAGATTGTTTAAATGGAAGTGAGGGAGTTTTCACTGAGTTGGGATTCAAAATTCAGACAGTTTTAAAAAATCCCCCTAGACTACCTCTTTTCCGCCTTCCCCCTCTGAAGCAGACGCGATGGAACCTCCATCGGTTAAGAGTCGGTTAGTCAGTGTCGGCGCGCGCGCCAACCGCCCCCGCTCCCTTCACGTAAACAAGGCCCACTCTTCCGGAAAGGCCGGGCGCCGCAGCGCCGCGTCACCTCGCCCTCCCCTCCCCCAATCCCCTTCCCTGAGCACCCCCAGCTCCGCCGACCCCCAAACCCATCAGCCTGGTCTCCCTTAGAAAGCCTCCGCACTTCTCCCAAGACTCCGAAGCCGCCGGCGAGTACCTGCTAATGAACGCAAGGACACCGAAGTCAATCACGTCCAGTCACCCCGACACCGACACCTAACAATGCCAGCCGCCTCTGAACGCTCACGGCTCCGCGGAGCTGAAATTTATGCAGCGTCTGTTGCGTCACTCATCACCGCCGACGTAGCCACCGTGTCCGTACGCTGCCGAAAATAGTTCGCTCGGCCCCACCTCCCGCGGCCCAGTTCGGCCCTCCCAACCGAGCCCCAAGTTCCTCAGAGCCAAAGGAAGGACTCTAAAAAATCAGCTCCCCTCACTTCCAGGCGACTCTTCTCCTCCCTTAGGAAAAAGTAGGAAAATGATTAGGCGGATGGATTTGAGTTAAGGGGACCTTCCTCGAAAGCTCTCGAAACTTCCTTGCGGCGCCGGCGCTGATTGGTAGGCGTGCGAAGGCGAGGCCGGCGCTGATTGGTGGGAAACGCGGCGGCTCGGTTGTTGCTGGGCTTCCAGCTAGGGTGGGTGAGCGCCGACGTTGCTAAGTAACTCTGCGCGTGCGCTACAGAGGCGTGCCTTGGCGAGAATGGGGTACTTCCGGTCGGAGATGGGGGAGGGTTACGTTGCTCCCGCCTCCAAAGTCCAACACCCCCACTCCCGTCCTTAAGTCTTGGGTTTTTCTAGCTTTGGGTAAGGAAAAAGCTTCGTCCGCGGCGACTTTCCTGGGAAGGTCGCCCCGGTTCGGGTTCGGAGGCGCTCACGGTGTGGCCCGCCGCTTTTTGCCAGTGTCGCCGTGGAAGCACGAACCCGCTCCCCCCCCCCCCATCTTGACGCGAGCGCGCACTGCTCGGTTTATTTTTGCGCTTGGTTAGAGCAGGGTGAGGGTGCTTTAATGACGCTTTTTTTTTTTTTTTTTTTTTTTTAAAGAGTCGGAATGCTTTTGTCCTGGATTTCCACAAGGGCTAGACCCTGGTGGCGGGACCTTGTGTGTGTTGGGGGGAGGGGGCGGCCTCCCCCTCCCTCCTCCTCCTCCCCTCCCCCCAAGTAGAGGCCCTGGGAGGCTTAGCTCAGGCTCCCGGGGACTCGGTGGCCGGCTTAGGTGTGGCGCTGGTGAAACCTGCAGTGTTCTTGCCCTCCTTGCTGTCTCACCAGACTCTGGTAGGGAAAAAGATGCGGATCAGGAAGCCCACAACCTGAGCTCGGGGGGACGAGGAATTGCAGGAAAACAGGACTCCTGTTCACGTGTTTGCCCCTCAAGCGACGGTGGAGGTGGAGTTGGCCAGCTCCCACCTCTAGCTGGTCCCCCCCCCCCCCGCTTTACTTCCCTCGCCCCCCCCCGCCGGGTGTGGCCCCCAAGCCCCGCCAGGAGATTACACGAGCACCCTGAGTCAGACAGGGGCGTGGAAATCTCGGGGACACGTGGCCCAGTGTCTGAGTCACGGAGCCGGGGGTGTAAATAAACACGCAGATGGTTGTTAGTGGCGTAATTCCAGCCTTCCCAAGTGAGTGAAGTTTTGCACGGTAATAGAAATCAGCTGCACGCCCCTTAGAAAAAAGGTCGCTAGTCCTTAAAATACATTTCTAAGCATACTATTCAAAAAAGATGTTCATGAGTTAACCCCTCGACAGCTTAAGTTAAACTAAAACTTGGTAAGATCCACTTACTTGCATAACAGAGGAAAATAAGTTTCCTTAAGATAATTTGTGGGGCGCCTGGGTGGCTTAGTTGGTTAAGCGTCAGACTTTGGCTCAAGTTGTGATCTCCAGGCCCTGGGATCTAGGCTCCCTGCTCAGCGGAGAGCCTGCTTTCTCACTCTCCTGCCTCTCCCCTGCTCGTGCTCGCTCTCTCTCCCAAATAAAAAAAAAAAATTCTTAAAAAATAATTTTGGACTTGGAGGTCGTTGATAAAATGTTTTTTTCCCCAAAGTATGAAATTTCATTTTTGTTAAACTGCGTTGGAATTTGTTTTCACCAACTAGCAGCTTCTCCTGAGTCATAGAGGTTGAACGGTAAGAATAATCTAGAATGGAGATCTCCTGACGGATGGGATGACTTCGCTTGGGGTTCTAGCGATTGCCAGAACCAAATTAGTCACAGGGCTTCCTGGTTTAATGTTTTCCCAAAGTGGGACATTTGGTGACCTCAGCAAAGCAAAATGTTTTCAGAAGGAGGTCAAGTGCTGTCCTTGTAAAACAAGGTGATTTTTTTTTAATGATCTGTTTATAAATGAACATTTTAATAATGACATCATTTCTGGTAGTAAATTGTAAAAGATAATTTGTAAACAAGTCAGAGAGTAGAGTGAAAAAAATCCCAAAGAGCAGAAATTTGATAATTTAGCATAATACTTGGCATTGTGTTCAATATATGTTCCTTAAATGAAGTGCAGTTTTACCTTTTGTTCAACTGGGGAAAAGAAAAAAAAAACAATTTTGTGACAACCTTGAGCACCAAAATACAAAGCAAAAAGCCAGCATTTATTTATTCTCCATAGGCAAATGTTTTTTCCTAGGCATTTCCTTTGGAAAAAACAGAGATTCTAAGTGATTTCATTGGGTTAGTTGTCTTTTAATAAAGTTCTGTGAGAAAACTGTGGTTCCAATGATAAAGTCACAATTGTTTTCTTGACATTATATTAAAATACAGGGTTCATCGGTGGTTAGTTATTTTCTCATTTGGCTATTTATCTCGATAGAATTGAGACTCCTGATTCATTACCAGCTAGTTAGAAACTTTGGTATTGGATATCCAAATGAACACAGGGAAAAATTCTGTATTGTCTTTATATTGGGCCTTAAAATTATGAAATCTGTCCTATAAAATATAGCTACTTTAAAACATTTATTATGGAATATTACATAAATGAAAGTTGGAGATAATATGAGCAATACCCAACTTTATTAAATCTGAACATTTTGTTATTTTGCTTCAGCTTTTTTTGTGGCAAAAAAATATACTATAAAATTTATCTTTCCATTATTTAAATGTACAGTTAAGTGGTAGTAATTAGGGCAGCCCAGGTGGCTCAGAGGTTTAGTGCTGCCTTCAGCCCAGGGTGTGGTCCAGGAGACCCGGGTTTGAGTCCTACGTCAGGCTCCCTGCATGGAGCCTGCCTCTCCCTCTGTCTGTGTCTCTGCCTCTCTCTCTGCCTCTCATGAATAAATAAATAAAATCTTTTAAAAAGTGGTAGTAATTATATTTCACATTATTGTATTATAGATTCCTAGGATTTTTTCATCTTGCAAAACAAACCCTATGTTCACTTTACTATTCCCCATTTCTCCCCACTCCCAGGCCCTGGTAATCACTATTCTACCTTCCATTTCTTTGATTTTGATTACTTTAGATACCTTCGAAAAGTGGATTTAAACAGTGATTTTTTTTTGGGGGGGGGAGTTGGCTTATTTAGTATAATACCTTCAGGATTCCTCCATACATGTGACAAATTTCCTTGTTTTTTAAGGTTAATAGTCCGGTGTATGTATATACCACATTACAGGTATCTATGGGTATTTGGGTTACTTCCACCTCTTAGCTATTTTGAATACTGTAGTGAATATGGGTGTGCAAATACTCTGCAATCCTGCTTTCAGTTCTTTTGGATATAGACTCAGAAGGGGATTGTTGGATTATGTGGTAATTCTATTTTTAATTTTTTGAGGAACCTCCATACCGTTTTCCATAATGGCTGCATCATTTTACATACCCACCAGCCACCTACAAGGGTTCTAGTCTCCCCACATCCTAGCAACACTTATCTTCTGTTTTATTTTTTTATAATGGCCATCCTAGTGCGTGTGAGGTGGTATTTACTGTGTGTGGCTTTTTAAAAAGATTTATTCATGAGAGACAGAGGGAGAAGCAGACTCCCTGTAGGGAGCCTGATATGAGACTCTATCCCAGGACCCCGGGATCATGACCGGAGCTAAAGGCAGATGCTTGACCACTGAGCCACCCAGGTGTCTTGGAAAAGTAAGTCTCTAAGGAATTTTGGAAGCATGGTTTCCAGGACCTTTCAGGAGCTAGCTGCTGTTAGGGAAAGGTCATTTATTACCATCAGTGAAGCCTTAATCATGAGATCCTTCAGATATATATTAGTGGGCCATATGTTTGGAGGGTAATTGCTAATGTGTGTCTTGGGGAGTAGAGATCAAGGAAGTTTCCAAAAGAATTTCTATATGTTTAAAGTAGACTTATAGGATCCTGGGAGGTGGGTGGTCAGGTTAAGATTGCCTTTTGGCCTTAGCAAAGGGTCAACATTGAGGCAGCTGAGCTCCCAGGGGAAGCTCACTCTACCTGTTTCAAGGACTTGTCAATGGGCTGCAAGTAGTAAGGAAATGTAATATTTCTTTGGCTTTGTTTTCCACATCAGTAACACCTTATGTAACTACAGTACAATGTCAAAAACAGGAAAATACCAGCGGTAGAATCTGCAGACCTTATTCAGATTTCAGCAGTTTTACATGCACTTTCATGTGTGCCTGTATATAGTTTTGTACAGTTTTATCACTTGGGTAGATTCATGTAACCATCACCAGGATCAAGATACAGTGCTGTTCCATCATAAGGATGATGGTACCTCTTTACAGTCACAACTTTCTCCCACCCCTTACCCCCCAAGCCTAGGCAACCACTTATCTTTCTGCATCTTTCTTTTCCTTCCCATATGTTCATCTGTTTCATTTCTTAAATCCCACATATGAGTTAAATTGTATGGTATTTCTTTCTCTATTTCACTTAGGATAATACTCTCTAGCTCCATCCATGTCATTGCTAATGGCAAGATTTCATTCTTTTTGACGGCTGAGTAGTATTCCATTGTATGTATATACCACATCATCTTTGTCCATTCATCAGTCTGTGGACATTTGAGTTCTTTCTATAGTTTGGTTATTGTTGAAAATGTTCTAAATCTTTATAATGTTATTTTGGGAATGTTGAAATCACTCAGTATGTAACTTTTTTTTAAAAAAGATTTATTTACTAGAGAGAGAGTAGAGGAAGGGGCAGAGGGAGAAGGAAAGAGAATCCTCAAGCAGAGGATTCCCCACTGAGTGTAGAGCCAGACACAAGACTGGATCCCAGGACCCTGAGATCATGACCTGAGCTGAAATCAAGAGTTGGACACTCAATCAACTGAGCCACCCAGGCACCCCAGTATGTGACTTTTTGACAGTAGCTTTT